AGCAGGGGGGGGGGGGGAGCAAACAGAGCGGGGGAGGGGGGGGACGACGAGAGCAGGGGGGGCGGGAGCAAACGAGAGCAGGGGAGGGGGGGAGCGACGAGGGGCCGGGGGGGGGAGCGACAAGAGCAGGGGAGGCGGGGACCCGCGAGAGCGGGGGAGGTGGGGACGACGAAGCAGGGGGGGGGGGGGAACGAGAGCGGGGAGGGGGGGGCGACGAGGGGAAAGGGGGCGGGGAGTAAACGAGAGGGGGGGGAGGTGGGGGGGCGACGAGAGTTTGGGGAGCGACGAGAGCTGGGGGGTTGGGGGAGCGAAAGAGCGGGGAGGTGGGGACGACGAGAGCAAGGGGGGTGGGAGCGAGAAAAACCGGGGGAAGGTGGGGAGCAAACAAAGCAGGGGGAGGGGGGGAGGGGACGAGAGCGGGGGACGACAAAGTTGGGGAGCGACGAGACCCGGGGGAGCGACAGAGCGGGGAGCACGAGAGCTGGGGAGGGGGGAGCGACGAGACCCGGGGGAGGGGGGGGAGCGACGAGAGAAAGGGGGGGTGGGGGGGGGCGACGAGAGCAGGGGGGGGTGGGGAGCGACAGAGCGGGGACCCGACGAAAAGCTGGGGCGCCGAAGCGGGGGAGCGACGAAGCAGGGATGGGGAGCGACGAGAGAAGAAAAAGGGGGGTGGGGAGCGACGAGACCCAAAGGGGAGGTGGGGAGCGACAAAGGCGGGGGACGGGGGAGCGACGAGAGCTGGGGACGACAGAGCTGGGAGGGGGGGGAGCGAAACGGGGGGGGGGAGCGACGGAGCGGGGGGAGCGAGAGAGCGGGGGAGGGGACGGGGGCAGGGGAGGTGGGGGGGCGACGAGAGCTGGGGGGGTGGGGACGAGGGAGAGCGGGGGAAGCGACGAGAGCTGGGGAGCCCAACGAGGGGCTGGGGACCCGACGAGGGGCTGGGGAGCGACGAGAGCAGGGGAGGCGGGGAGCGACGAGACCCAGGGGAGGGGGGGGAGCGCGAGACCCCTGGGGAGGTTTGGGGACAAACGGGGGCCGGGGGAGGCACGAGGCGGGGGAAGGGGGGGAGCGACAGGGGCCAGGGGGGGTGGGGAGCGCCCAGGGCCCGGGGAGGTGGGGGGCAAACGAAAAGCAGGGGGGGTGGGGAGCGCCGGGGAGCGGGGAACGATGAGAGCGGGGAGCGAGGGAGATTGGGGGAGCAAAGAGGGGCCGGGGGGGTGGGGAGCGACGAGACCCGGGGGGGTTTGGGGACGACGAAAAGCAGGGGGGGGTAGGGAGCGACAAAGAGCAGGGGGGGGTGGGGACCCGACGAGAGCAGGGAGGGGGGCGACGAGAGCAGGGGAGCTGGGAGCGAGGGAGAGCTGGGGAGCGAAGAGAGCGGGGAGTCTGGGGAGCCGAACGAAGTTTGGGGGCTGGGGGGGCGACGAGAGCAGGGGAGGTGGGGAGCGACGAGAGAAAGGGGAGGGGGGGAGCGACGAAAAGCGGGGGAGGGGGGGGGAAAGCGACGAGGGGCAAGGGGAGGGGGGGAGCAAACGAGACGGGGGAGGGGGGGGGCGACGAGAGCGGGGGAAAGGCGGGGGGGAAACGATTAGCGGGGGAGGGGGGGAGCAAACGAGAGCTGGGGACGACGAGAGCGGGGAGGTGGGGACGAGGGAAGCTGGGGAGGGGGGGAAAGCGACGAGAGCGGGGGAGGGGGGGGAGCGACAAAAAGCAGGGGGGGGGGAGCAAACGAAAGCAGGGGGTGGGGAGCAAACGAGGGGCGGGGAGCGACAAGAGCTGGGGAGCGACAGGGGGGAGCAAACAAAGAGCTGGGGGGGGGACGAGAGAGCTGGGGATTGGGGACGACGAAAAGCAGGGGGGTGGGGGCGCCGAGAGCAGGGGGGTTGGGGCGAACGAGAGCGGGGGAAGGGGGGGGAGCACGAGGGCGGGGGAAGGTGGGGAGCGAGGAAGAGGCAGGGGAGGTGGGGGGGCGACGGGGCTGGGGGGGGCGACGAGGGGCGGGGGGAGCGACGAGAGCGGGGGGAGCGACGGGGAGCAGGGGGAGGTGGGGACGACGAGAGCAGGGGAGGGGGGAAAGGCGAGAGCGGGGGGGGGGGGAGCACAGGCGGGGGACCCTGGGGACGACGAGGGGCTGGGGAGGGCGAGAGTGTTTGGGGAGGGGGGGGGAGCGACGGGAGGGGGGGAGCGACGAGAGTTTGGGGAGGGGACGAGGGGCTGGGAGCGACGAGAGCAGGGGAGGGGGGGAGCGACAGAGCTGGGGAGGTGGGGCGACGAGAGCTGGGGAGCGACAAAGAGCGGGGAAACGACAAAGAGCGGGGAGCGACGAGAGCTGGGGACGACGAGAGCAGGGGAGGGGGGGAAACGACGAGAGCAGGGGGGGCGGGGAGCACGGAGCGGGGAGGTGGGGGGCGACGAGAGCGGGGGACCGACGAAGCTGGGGAGGGGGGGGCGACGAAGCAGGGGAGGGGGGGCGACGAGAGGGGGGAGGTGGGGACCCGACGAGAGCAGGGGAGGTGGGGAGCAAACAAAGGGGCAGGGGAGGGGGGGAGCGCGAAGCGGGGAGCCGTTTGAAGGGGGGAGCACGAGAGTTGGGGAGCGACGAAAGCGGGAGGGGGGGAGCAAAACGAGGGGAGGGGAGGTGGGAGCGACGAGAGCGGGGGGGGAAAAAAGGTAGGAGCGAACGAGGGGCGGGGGAGGTGGGGACGACGAGAGCAGGGGAGCGGGGGAGCAAACAAAGAGCAGGGAGCGGGGGACAAACGAGAGCTGGGGGCGACGAGAGCTGGGGAGTTTGGGGGGGCAAACGAGAGCGGGGGGACGGGGAGCGACGAGAGCGGGGAGGTGGGAGCGACAGAGCGGGGAAAGGTGGGGAGCGCGAGAGCAGGGGAGGGGGGGAAAGCGCCCGAGAGAAAGGGATGGGGACGACGAGGGGCTGGGGAGGGGGGGAGCGCGAGAGCTGGGGGGGTTTGGGGAGCGCCGAGAGCGGGGAAAGGTGGGGAGCGACGAGACCCGGGGAGGTGGGGAGCAAACGAGAGCGGGGGAGCGCGTGGCGGGGGAGCGACAAAGAGCTGGGGAGGGGGGGGAGCAACGAAGCGGGGGAGGGGAACGAGGGAAAGCGGGGGAGGTGGGAAGCGCCCGAAAAGCGGGGGAGGGGGGAAGCAGGGAGAGCGGGGGAGGTGGGGAAGCGACGAGAGCTGGGGGGGTTTGGGAAAAGCACGAGAGTTTTTGGGAAAGGGGGGGAGCACGAAACATTTTGGGAGGGGGGACTAATTCAAAAAAATTTTTTTGGGGGGGAGGGGAAGAAATGCAACATTTTTTGGGTCCCTAGAAGTTTGCAAAGGGTTTTACGGGGTAAATTTAACATACTAAACAAAAAACGCAAGAAGAAATGAAAGGGGTAAGGGGGAATGATTTTTGCCCGGACGGGGGTACCCAAACCTAGTCACGTCCCGGGATTATTTTAAAGTTTTGGGGGATAACGCCCAAAAACGACAGTTTTAGGGCAGAAACATTTATCACTTGAAAATAGTCCCCGCATTATCATTTTTAATTTTTCAAAGTCTTTAATTTTTAATGCCCTTCCGTACAGTCATACTTTTTTTTCGCTAACTTTTTACCTTTTAACCGAGTAGTGATACCTAAACCAAAGGGAAAGGGTTTTACTGGGTTTTTGGGGGCCTTTAAATTAAAGTGTGGAGATTAAAAAGGGAAAGCAGCGACATAGCCGGTGAAAAGGGAAAAGGTTTTGGGGAGTATTTTATCTAGGGGAAGTGCCGGGGGAAATTTATGTAAAGAATAGTGTTGCTTCGCGAGCCCTTCAAAGATGGGCGTCTGGATAGAGAATATGCTGTGTAAAATACTTACAGGGATTGCTGTTTAGGATGATAAGAGACTGTCAGGATAAATATCAGGGTTTTGTATGATATAATGTCAGGGGATACAAGTGTTCCAGTAGTGTCGTTACTGTGTATTACTTGGGGTATATATGGAGGGAGGGGGGATAAAGTTAATTGAATTATGCGTCTCCGGGGAAGTCCTGCTTTTTTTTTGTTCCCCCCCCCCAAGGCTAGAGTGTTAGGGTGTATGAAGGTTGATAGTTCTTGTGGGATCTATGGGGAAGGTGACACTTCATTCTGTGGGGTGCACTTCCCTGGGCGTTATGAAGTGGTGCTAACATGGCTGACTAAAGTGTTAGTTTCAGCGAGGAAGTAGGAGAGTGTCAGTGTTAAGACCGAGTTAGTCATGAGTAGTTGTTGAACGTTGTGGCGGAGCTCTAACGTATATAGTTGGCTATATTCACATAACGCGAGTGTTTAGGGAATCTAGGTTTGATCTAGGTATCAATCGTCTCTTGGTGGCAAAGTCATAGAGAACTACGTATTTTGGAATAAGTATGGGTTGCATTATGACCATCGAGGAGCCCATGCATGGGGCTCCGGCGTGAGAAATGAATGTTGCTGTGTCTTGGGTTGCAAGGGTTGTGAAAATGTTTGTAACAAGTTATGTTATTTATATGTACACAAGTTATTACTGCGATTATTAAACTATAGTTCACACACGGTAGGAAAGTTTACGTCGCTGATTTTATAACCTCGTAGAATTTTTCTTACGAGTTGTGTATTGCACATGTGGCCAAATATTTTTATGTCAGTCATAGGCATTTTATATCAATTAAGTTTAAGTGCGTGTTATGACACTTAGAATCTTGGGGAAACATTTGAGTTCATTAGTGTTTTTGTATAATGTGTATTTTTGGAAGTGTTTAGCATTGTGCGAATATTGTGTCAGTATTTTGTGTGTAGGAATTGTACTCCTACATCAACAACACTGTAGAGTAACTGGTGTCGCCTCAGTCTTACGTACCCATAATATTTTTAAGTTTTCTGTATGTTTAAAGTTACCACTTTGTTATATATGTGTATATAAAGCTTTAAATTATGCATGAAAAGGTGAATTCCTTTAAATTATGAAAAGTGCATTAAAAACTTCAGGTAAACACTTACGTCTGCGAGGAAACATGTTTAGTAAGTCACTGCTCAATCACTGCTCCGACACTGCTCACTCACTGCTCCGACACTGATCATTCACAGCTCCGACACTGCTCACTCACTGCTCCGACACAGCTCTGACACAACTAATTTACTGCCCTGTAACTACCCTGACACTCCTCCACTGTTGTGTTACTCTCACTCTCTCCTGGTAGACCATAAATCAGGCTCCTGTTCCTTAAACCTTTTATAATTTATTGCTATTTTCTTCATTTTAATATTCTATCCACATATTCATTAATATTAAAATGTCTTTATAATCTTTTGCATAACAAATTACCATCAACTGTAAAACAAAACTTATAGGAACATCAAGTGTACAACCTGGATATACTTCTTGATCAAAAGCTGTTTCCACAAACCACTTAAATATATTATGAGAAATATTCTGTCTTGTTCTTTATATACTGAGAGCAGCAGTATAGTGTGTATATACTGAGACCAGCAGTGTATATTGCATATATTGAGAGCAGCAGTATATATTGTGTATACTGAGAGCAGCAGTATATATTGTGTATACTGAGAGCAGCAGTATATATTGTGTATACTGAGACCAGCAGTGTATATTGCATATATTGAGAGCAGCAGTATATATTGTGTATACTGAGAGCAGCAGTGTATATTGCATATATTGAGAGCAGCAGTGTATATTGCATATACTGAGAGCAGCAGTATAGTGTGTATATACTGAGACCAGCAGTGTATATTGCATATATTGAGAGCAGCAGTATATATTGTGTATACTGAGAGCAGCAGTGTATATTGCATATATTGAGAGCAGCAGTGTATATTGCATATACTGAGAGCAGCAGTATAGTGTGTATATACTGAGACCAGCAGTGTATATTGCATTATTGAGAGCAGCAGTATATATTGTTTTATACTGAGGAAACAGCAGTGTATATTGCAAAATTGAGGAGCAGGTATATTTCATATACGAGAGCAGCAGTAAGTGTTTTAATTTTACTGAACCAGCAGTGTATATTGCATATATTGAGAGCACAGTGTATATTGTGTATTCTGAGAGCAGCAGGTATATTGTTATGCTGAGAGCAGCAGTATATATTGTGTATACTGAGAGCAGCAGTGTATATTGCATATATTGAGAGCAGCAGTATATATTGTGTATACTGAGAGCAGCAGTGTATGTTGTGTATCTGAGAGCAGCAGTATATATTGTGTATACTGAGAGCAGCAGTGTATTGTGTATTCGAGAGCAGCAGTGTATATTGTGTATCTGAGAGCAGCAGTGTATGTTGTGATTCTGAGAGCAGCAGTATATGGTGTATATGAGAGCAGCAGTGTATATTGTAAAATGCTGAGAGCACAGTATATATTGTGTATTACTGAGAGCAGCAGTGTATAATTGCATATATTGGAGCAGCAGTGTATATGTGTATTCTGAGAGCAGCAGTGTATTTTTGTATATGCTGAGAGCAGCAGTGTATATTGTATTGCTGAGAGCAGCAGTGTATAGTGTATATGCTGAGAGCAGCAGTGTATATTGTAATGTCGAGAGCACAGTGTATATTGTATATGCTGAGAGCAGCAGTGTATATTTTATATGCTGAGAGCAGCAGTGTATATTGTATATGCTGAGAGCAGCAGTGTATATTGTATATGCTGAAGCAGCAGTGTATATTGTATATGCTGAGAGCAGCAGTGTATATTGTATATGCTGAGAGCAGCAGTGTATATTGTATATGCTGAGACAGCAATGTATAGGTTATGCTGAGAGCAGCAGGTGTATATTTAAAATCGAGAAGCCCGCGTGATATTGTATATGCTGAAGCAGCAGTGTATTTTGATTGCTGAGAGCACAGTGTTTATTGTATATGCTGAGAGCAGCATGTATATTGTGTAAAACTGGAGCGCAGTGTAATTTATATGCTGAGGCACAGTGTACTAATATTTTTTTATATATTTATTTAAAATACAATACATAGCTAACATAAAACCCTTAAACAAGGGTTAATATACATTAATATAATACTTTATGAATCACAATCCCTCGACGTACAATAGCAAATAACAAAACAATATTAACAGCAAAAAGAGGTTGCACAAATACACTAGAAAATATCGCTTATGACAGAACATAACATTAAGAAAGATGGGTAATCTTAATCTTATTTACACAAGAACAACAACAAGGACATAACATGTAGGTGCCCCCTGTAACAGGTTCAATAATATAATTAAAGCCATAATCCCTTCAGGTATACACTATTTACATAAATTACTGTGACATATTAACTCGACTCAAGAAATCGTAATGACACGATTGCAAACAAACCATACCCCCGGCCGGGATTGAACCCGCGGTCATAGAGTCTCAAAACTCCAGCCCGTCGCGTTAGCCACTAACCAGCTAGCCACAATAAGATTCATCCAACTAGGTATATTTCTACACCATGGGAAAGGGTTAGCACAGGCACCACTGTGACGGGCTGGAGTTTTGAGACTCTATTGACCGCGGGTTCAATCCCGGCCGGGGGTATGGTTTGTTTGCAATCGTGTCATTACGATTTCTTGAGTCATGTTGACGGCAGTGAAGGGACTTGAGCTAGAGTTCGTCACGGCCACGCTAGCTGGAGATTCGTCTGTAAAAACTTGCATTTGTGGTTACAGTGGTGCCTGTGCTAACCTTCCTATGGTGTAGAAATATACCTAGTTGGATGAATCTTATTGTGGCTAGCTGGTCTAGTGGCTAACGCGACGGGCTGGAGTTTTGAGACTCTATGACCGCGGGTTCAATCCCAGCCGGGGGTATGGACTGTGACATATTGTCAATGCACAATACAATAAGAAGAATATTACGATAAATATATCGGTTACTCACAACCTGCATAAATAATCAATAAATGAAAGGACCTACATCACAATCTCATGATAAAACAAAGTACATATTCTTACTCAACTAACCCCCCAGTACATAAGTTCCCTACAGTCACACATACTCGCCTTACCACAAGTCTTACGAGTCAGCCACAAAACTAGAAAAGCCATAAGCATTCCGCACTTGTCTACAGGCTATACAGCCCTTCAAGGAAGGTTCCTTGATGTTGGTGAGGGGCTCTTGATTTAGGGAATTGGATCTGTGCTCCAGTTCCCCTAATTAAGCCTGAATGCCTTCCACATCCCCCCCCAGGCGCTGTATAATCCTCCGGGTTTAGCGCTTCCCTCTTGATTATAATAATAATAATACAGGCTGTACACATTATATAACTACACCACTACATCCTCTCACACAACCACATTCACCACAACCACACATTACACTGATACACACAGCAGCACAGCCCTTGTGCATACCCAACCCCGGAGACGAGCCCGTTCCATCCCCTGAACTTCAACCCCACCCTTTTACAACGCTAACAATGCTCTCACACTCATTCTACGATACACTGCTGAAAAAGCCTGGTCCCAGCGACTTCCATATATTTCCCGATTACAACACAACGTTCTATAAATGGTCGCCGCAAACACCCTTTTGCGCACCTCCCAATCCCCATTCCCTCTCATCGCCCAGGATACAAAAACAAAATCCTCAATTATATACGTGATTGCACGTTGCACAGACGCCTCTACGCCTCCCACGTCCAAACTTAACGCCATCAATACTGATATCCCGCCCCCTCCCACAGTCCTCTGAACCTTACCCATCCATTCCCTGATACTCCCTAGATTATCACAAAAATACACTACATGAAACGCGGTCTCCTCATCCCCGCACGCCCGACACGCGCCCTCCACCATCAACCCTCTTTCCTTAAGTGCAAGTGCAGCACCCGATGGCAGTATACTATGGAGAAAACGGAAAAATACCTCTCGCACGTTTGGTCGCACGCGCATCAACCGCATCAACCGTAACCTCTCCAATATATCCTCTCACGCATACATAGGGTAGATACTCTCAGTCTTCGCGACTACCTTCGCCCTTACAGCACGCTCTAAAACACCCACCCAAACTTTATTAGGGTCCCAGACATGCAAACACGTCTTCACACACCCTCATCTCCGGCCCTTCCCACTACATTCGCACCTCTTCATGTAAGTCCATTCACCCCCCCCCGCTTGTCCCCGCACACGGCATAACCCCCACTTTAAATAAATACACTTGACTCTTAACTGTAAATCAATCAACCCTAATCCTCCTCTGTTGACCGGTAGAGTAATCACACTCCTACTCAACCATTCACACCTGGAACCCCAAAGAAAATGGAAAACCCTCCTTAACGACCTCGTAACATCTGGACCTGCTAACGGTATACTGCGTCACGTTCCAGACTTTACTGTATAACAACACATTCACAACAATCGCACGCTGATGTACTGTCAAATGAGTTGGTCTCAACCCATCCAAGCGCCCCACCACTCAATCCACAACAAGTCCAAAATTAACCATCCTCGCCTCTCTCACACTACCTATGTACACTATCCCACACACTTTTATCCTGTCCACCATATTGCCAATGTACATTCCATCCCCAACTCTCTCTTCCCACCCAATCTCCTAAGACCAGTAATTTTGATTTTCCTCATTAACTCTTAAACCGGTAACCTACGCGAAATTATCATAACATCTCCTACCGCACGTAAACTCCTCAGCGTTCGCACTAGTATTGTCGTGTCATCCTCGTACCCTATTATTCCCTGCTCTCCACTTTCCTACTCCCCAATCCACCTCTATACCCCGCTCCCATCACTCTATAGAAAGGGTCTGTTAAACAGGCAAACAACAATTGAGACAAAGGACAACCTTGCCTAATACCCCGACCCATGGATACCCACTCCCCCAACTTCCCATTTACCTGTACACACACTCCCCCAAACCTATATACAATGTCTCTGCCCAACGCACCACCTCCTCCCCAAAACCCTGCCTCCTAATATGTATCACAACACCTCACGTTCTACACTATCATACGCTGCCTGCCAATCTAATGCTAAGACACCCCCCCCCCCGTGCTCCCTCCCGACCCTTCCAAAAAATTTTTTTATAATACTATGCCCGTCATACGTCGTCCTTCCCAGACACACCATATTGTCCTCTCGCAACCACTCTATCCACCACAACACTTCAGCCTATTTCCTAAAAATTTTGCAAAAATTTTATAATCAG